GGTGAGGGAGGGGGAGGGAGAGAGGGGGAGGTAACGTGCGTAGATTACTTTAGGCGAAGATAGGATAAGTTAGTTAAGATAGCGTGTGTTATTATGTTTGTATTTATAATATGTTGTAACCCCTAGGGGAATTAATAAAGTTTTCATTCATATAAAAACTGATCGTAAAAAGTGCAAAGTAAAACCGCAAATGGTTACAAGCAATCATACACGCAAGTATACACTTATGAAACACTGTAATAATAAACATTAATACATATTCGCGCATCAGCAATTGCTCAATAATTAATTTATTGCGAAAAATATTACCTTGGCCGAGAATCGAACCCGGATCTCTTGCTTTCCGGGCGAGCGTTCTAAGCCTTTAGACCACCAAAGTTTTAGTAATATTCTTCGCAATAATTGGTATACGAAGGAACAATGTCTATTTAGGCGACGTAAATAAACAATATAATATATTATAGGACTGTATATGTGTGATAACACAAACTAAGAAACGAATGCCTTAAACGGTCTAGCTGGATTTTAAATGTTTGTAAAATTAATTATTTACAGATTTTAATATGTCACTCAGCATTATTAAGATCGTTCAAAGATGCGAGAAAGCCATCAAATTGTTAAATTGCTAGTCGTGACATTACTGCGGTAGTTTAGTAGAGTTAGCGTTTTAAGACCGAAAAATCATTTTGGCGCGCGTTTCAAAGGACTACTATATACTACATACGTAGTATATAAATTCACACAGAATCATACAAGCATTTAAGATCCAGCTAGACTGTTTAAGGTATTGATTTCTATAGTTTGTGTTATCACATATACGGTCTTATAAGATATTATATTATTTTTTATATAATTCAAGATCGAGTTATCGATTAAGCCTGTTAAGAACTTAATTGGTTCTGTCATTTCTAAATTCCGATAAATTAAGATATTCGCAGTCACGCGGCTTGTATACACGACTATGGATACACGAGTTGGTTTCGTTGCTCATGTATATTTGATGCGAGATGCTACTGTCTCTTGAGGTGCGTCCCACTTAACGCCTGCAACGCTTGCAGCGCCCGCAAACTCGTTCCACATAACGACCACGATCGTTGTGGTCGCGATCAAAACGTCATAAATGACGTCATTAATCGTGACTGCATCGAGCTAACGACGCTCATGGTTTGTACGTCGGTCGGCGTGGTAGTTTTGTCGTCTGCTATCCTTTTTGCGCGGACATTTTGTTTTGCTCCCGGTGTTACACATTTTTAACATGTAAAGAGTCTCTTTGTATGATCCGGAAACAGATAAACACTATTTCCCATTCGTTATCAGAACTTAATAAGAGTCTTCAGATTTATATTTTCTAGCGCAGGACGATTACCTTAATGGTATCCTTGTTACAGAGACTGTTCACACACAAAATTCGTTCCACTTAAGATTTCGCCCGCAGAGTCCGCAAGTACGTGGAACAGCAAATATTGTGAACGTGGTCGTTGCGGACTTTTAAGTGGAACGCACCCTTGATAGATTCAAGTAATATACAGGGTGCTTAGTAAAGACTATCAATGCTTAGAAGGTAGATTTTTTAGAATATTTTGATACGAAAATCCTAACACCAAAATGTTGACGCTATAATATGTAGTTTTAGAATTATAAGCATTTAAAGTTAACGAATGATAAGTTTACTCGTTGAGATGTGATATATAATAACACAAAATGTAAACTATATCTTAACACGTGACCTTTAGACATTACGATTCGCCAACTTTAAATGGTTATAATTGAAAAACTATTATAGCCTTAATATTTCGTATTAAGATTTTTGTCTCAAAATAATTACAGGAATCCTTCAAGTGTTGTTACCGGACATCCTGTATATGTTCCTTATTTGTTTACATAAAGATTTAATGAGATAAGATACGATTAAAAATACAAATGATGTGCATTATACATTTACAGAAAAATTGAAATTTTCAAATTGTTTGCAATACTGACTATAAATTGTTTTACTTTCATAATTTACTGTATAAATCAAGAATTTTAGGTTCATAAATTAAAAGAAGCTTATATACTTTATTATTTCTTTATATTTAACAATGTGTTAATAAATTATTTGTATTATATAGTTATATTTTTTTGACAGTTTGGTGAAACTGAAGCGGAAACGGAAGAGAAAAGTGGTCTTTATTTGCCATCTGGAACACCTTACCATACAACAAGAAGACATACAGTTGGACCTGGTGATGCAGTGCATCAATCTCCTTCGTCATATCCTTATCATCATATGTCAGGCTATCAAACTTTACGGCCTCTTCCTGTTCTTCAGTGTAATATGGATCCTCAAGTTTTACCACATACCAATTTACCATTAAATCTTCCCTTAGTTCAACATCAACCACCACAAAATTTCCAAATAAAGGATCAACATTTATTGAAACCACCTCCTGTAATGGGTGCCAGTAAGTTTTATCTTGTTTTATGAAAGATATTTTTAAAATTTATTTTAAAAAATAAATTCTTTGTTTTATTAAATTAATTGATTAATTAGTAATAAATATGCTATTGAACCTTTTTTGTCAGTATAACGTTATTACATTCAGAATTAATTTCCATAAAATTATATTGTTTTGTGATTTATTTTCGCCTTATATATGTGCGACTTATTTAAATGATAATTGATTTGTATTAGATATTTCTGTAAAATTAATTTAGTATTGAATGATAATACAATATAAATACATGTGCGAATATTTTTATATAATATTAGATTATGTATAATATGAATTTAATATGAATATTTGAAATTTGTAAAGATATTTTTATATCCCATAGAGTCCTAGCGATTTGAATTAAAAATATTATTTTTTTGAATAAATTGTCGATTGATAATAAAAAACAATAAAGCAAGAAACTTGTGCGCGCGTACGTATATACATACGTACGCACGCACGCATGAACGCATACGTATGGAAAGAGAGCGAGGGGGGGGGGGGGGGGGGGGGAGTGGGAGAGAGAGAGGGGAGGAACAGTGGGAGAGAGGGATGTGCGCACGCACGAACAAACAAGCACATACGCATAAATGGACTTAAATAAAATCATAAAAATTTATAACAAATGAATTAATTCGTTAAATACACATATAAGATAAGTAGATAAAAAATATGTACATAGTATTTTAAAACCTTAGGAAGAAATTTTAGGAAATGGTAGACATCGAAAGAAAAAACTTTTGTTGAGGAACTTATGTATTTAACATTTTTAAGAAGATACACTATACGATCGCTTTGCAATATTGCACGTCTGACAATTCTAGTTCAAATTTTTGCTTTTTATTGTACTTTTGAAAAAACAAATTCAAATAACGTGAACTATATTTGGCAGACGTCACACGTAACCGAACGAGCTCATTAAAAATCGGTTTTTCCTCCTCTCTCTCTCTCTCTCTCTCTCTGTTTTTTCATTTTTATTTCTTTCTATCTTCTCTTTCTCTGTATGCTAGTATCTATATATATTTTACGTTCGCGCATGTGTTTATAAGCAAAAAATTATTTACTATGTTAATTTTATATTATATTTATTATACGAGTTATCCCTTTTTAATTTAGTTTTTAGGTAAATATCTTGTAATATATGGAATATACGAAAAAACATTTTAGATGAAAATGGAATGGTTTCTACGGTGACGTATTTTGAAGACAAACAGAATGATGAGATGAATCAAATGATATAAAGAAAATATGTAGTTTCTCATTAAAAAATTATTTATTTCGCTTATACCTTTTTTTAAAGCAACTATGTGTTTTTCTTTACACCGATTGATTCATCTAATTATTCTGTTTATAAAAGTGTTAAAGCGCCATTATCAAAAAATTAATAGTTCATGAGATATTTATAAAAATATTTTATGTCAATAGTGATAGAATAAAGTATAAAATATCTCGTAAACTATTGGTTTGTTAATTCCTTAATCTAAGTACTTTTATATGCAAAATAATTAGAGGAATCATATCATATATTATATAAAAAAATGATGTAATTCTATATTTAAAAAATGATGGCCTTAATATATTTTTGGTGCTTTTACTTGGAAAAAACAACGTGACCAAAATACGTTCTCCTCGAATCTATTTCATTTTTTTCTTCTGAAACATTTTTCTATATTTTTCGAGATATTTGCTAAGGTATGTTAAAATGAGGCATTTTGTGCATTAAAATTAACTTTATTTTACTAGATCAATTTTATGTTAAAAAAATTTTATTTATTTGCATTGATTAGTGTAAATGTATTATTATTTTACCATATATGTTTACAGCCGGAGGTTTTGGTAGAAGAGCTTCAGATGGTGGAGCAAATCTTCACATATTTCATCAACAACATAGTAGTAACATTAACAATGATGAAGATAATGGCTGGAGTCAATCTGGTAGTAGGGAACAATTACAGCCAGTAAGTAAATAATTAAAAAATTTAGTTGTATTTCATTGACCTAAGCAATGGAAAGAAAATATTATAACATACAAGGTGTTTGGAAAATAATGATACATTTTTCGCATAAGCGCAGAATGGATTAAACTGAGAAGAAAAGTCCTTTACCATTTTGCAATTTTCGCAATAGTTAACAAGATATTAATTGCTAAAAGTTGCCGAAAATTGGTCTTCAATAATTTTTTATTCAAATACTATCAACTTTACAAAAAAATTGCAAGAGACGAAAATTGTTTATTTTCTTCTCATAGAATTTTTACGAATTTTTTCAGAATTTTTTATCAATTTTTTAGTACTGCATTTTCTCATTTTTATCAACATGAGAAAATACGGTATTGAAAAATTCTGAAAAAATTCTAAAAAAATTCTTAGAGCTCTACGAAAAGAAAATAAACAATTTGTGTCTCTTGCAGTTTTTCTGTAAAGTTGATAGTATTTGAGTAAAAAATTATTGAAGACCAATTTTCGGTAACTTTTAGCAATTAATATCTTGTTAACTTGCGAAAATTGCAAAATAGTAAAGGACTTTTCTTCTCAGTTTAGTCCATTCTGCCCTTATGCGAAAGATTTATCATTATTTTTCGAACACTGTATATAGAATAATGAAATAAAACTGCAACTAAATAATGAGGAAGATATATATATACAGGGCGTTTGAAAATTACCGGGTAATCGATCACGAGCAGGTAGAACGGACCGAATTGAATCGAAAAATCTTATACCATTTTGTAGGTTGCGGAATAGTTAA